AAAAAAAAAAAAAAAAAAGGAAAGGGGAAACAGCAACCAGAGGTGATTTAAAGTTTAAGAGAAACTGAGGCTTTGCTGACTGTGCACCCAGTGCACATGTTCTCCACAGCTGGCAGGAGGCAGAAATCCATTCCCTGACTTTGGCAAAGCCACATTGGAGAAAAAAACAAACACAAAAATCACTGTTAGCAGGTGCTTCTTCTGTCTCAACTCATCCTGCTCAGGCTGGTTCAACAACATGGAGATTTTGGTGGTGAAGCTCTTTCTGAATCCCTYTTCCTGCCCCAAAGCCTCGCCCTCAGCTGTGAATGGGATCCAACTCTCCAGATGTGAAATGGACCCCAGCTGGAAAAAAAAACCCAACAGGTATTTTTCTTTATTATTGTTATTCTGTATACTGTTTATKCTATAAATTTATTTTTCTTTATTTTATTCTGAACGAGAGGGTTGTTTTGTGAGCATGGATCCATCCCTGGAGCACCTGGTGCTGGGCTAAAGCCATCCCACATTTCTGTTGTGGAGGGGCTTTATAGGGTTGTCCAASCCCAAATCACAGCCTCAGCTATGTYCTACTGTTCCTATGAGAAATCCCTTCTAAGAAAATCAGTGTGAAGGAGAAAAAAAACAAGTCAAATCCTCAAATTTCTGCACCAGCCATGTTAGAGTATCCGGGGGCATTAAGGTGGGATGCTTGCCTGGGTTACACCTGGGATGAAAACACAAATTGCCTCCAAATACTGGTGATGGAGGAGCCTTTATTTTACACTTGTACCAGGTGAGCTGGCAGTGCCCAGTTGCATTTTAGGGGTGGAAAAWTTTGGTTTCATAGTCACAGAAATCAGGACCTCCACCAGTTGCTCATTGCCCACCTTCAAGACCTTCAAGAAACAGCTGCAGCATCCCGAAACTGAGCTCGTGGATTCGGGTGCAGCAGAGAAAACACATTTTTCTCCCAGCCCTACTGGGGAAAAAAAGCACCCCCGATACCGGCAAGTTATCCCTGTTGTTTACCAGCCTCAGCTGCTCTCCGGGCTGGCTGGAAATAGCTGGAGAGCAGCACAGCTCCTGCACGCTCCTTTCGCGTGTCTCCGGAGGAGCCGGGACAGCGGAGCCCGCAGCGTTTCCTCCCTTCCCGTGTTCATGTGGACGGGGCATGGACAGCCCGTGTGGCTTCCCGGGACTGGAACGTGTCCGCCAGCCCYGCCGTTCCCTGTCCCGGCATGCCAGCAGGCCAATAAAGTCATAAATAAATGGGTAAACAAGTTCGCCCCGCTGCCCTGGGAAGGTTCTCCCCGCGTCAGGTCGGATAAACAAACTCCAGGGACGGCAGAGACGGCGGGGAGGGGATAAATCAGAAAGGGTGAAGGAGTTCAGCACCAGCCCTGCCCAAAGAGAGCCCAAAGCCGAGCTGGGGCTGCACAAGAACACGGCAGTGCCTCCTTTTCTCCTGGATTTATCACCATTTTCCCCGTCACCCCTTCCCCAGCAGCGTCGTTTCTCCCCAAACCATTTCACAGGGAAACACTGGTCTCTCTCAGCTTTCCCYCTCTGTCCTCAGATAATTTTTTTCCAGGGCTGAGCAAAGCTTTCCTTGATTTCCARCCCAAATCGACATCTCTCCCGGTGRGGTTTTAACACCCTGCTCTGCCCRCAAGGGCTGATTTGGAAGCTCTGCTTTGAGGTCTGGACCAGTAACACCCCCCAAAATGTACCTGCACAGGGAACACAGCTCAGGATGCTCCAGCACAGCCAGGATTGGTGCAGAGAGAGCTGGATCTGCGGAAAAGAGCAGCTAAAGGCACTGTCAGCACAGCCTTCAGCCCATCTCTGCACCCTCCCGTGCCTCAGTYTCCCCTGCCTCAAATAATAAGGTTGGATTCAATGAGGAGTGAAGGACTGGGGGAGAGGGGGAACAAAAA